CTGTAGTGCGATCGCCCACACCAGAATGTGTGCCACAACAATGCCTGTGTTGCGGTTCAGTGCGATCGCAAAAAATGCTGCAAATAATGTTGTGCCACGTGCTCTGGCGCGGGCGATCGCACTGTGGGCGGGGGGGTCATGGCTGCAGTGCCATTGATTTGAATGCACCGCCATGCCCCCTTCTGCCCCAGAATACAGGGAGCCAGCAGGATGCGATACAGTGCGTTCCAGCAGCTAATCACTCTGGAACGCACTGTAACTGGGTAACTGGTGTGAACAAGCCCTGACTGCTGTTTAAATATGCCACATAAGATTGTGTTTAATTATGACCATTGTGCAGCAATCTGTTGTTTTAAACAATACTTAGAAAACTAAAACAGTTTAGGGGAGGCTGTAAAGAAACTTCAAGAAAACTTATAGAAGCTGTTATCAACTGGGTCCCCTTATACAGAATGTAGTCCCTATCCAAGCAGTCATGTAAAGGTCTTGCACAAGTTGGAAATCTATACATAGTAAGGACAGGATTGTCTTCCACAATACTGCCTCTACTATTCAACAGGGGACAGTCAATTTAAACTAAAATCTGCCTCAGTAACAAGAGAAGGAATAATTGTACAGATAACCTATGCTAATGATGACAAGGCAAACTGGAGAAATAAAAGAATATCAGAGAGACTTTAGGCTTGTTTGGCAACTGCACTACATAAATACCAATTGAATGCAAGAACTCAAAGTGCCAAAAGTCTTCAACACAGGTAAAATCCCAGCTGCATATCATATATGACTGTTCCCCCTTTGTGTCAGTTGCTGTGCTGGGTGGGAGCACTTATGATGAATATTGCATGATATAGGGCCTAGTGACACTGGTGCTATGCATTAATCGAACAGTTCTGTGCAATTAATACACTGTACCACGTAATGCACCTACCATGTGTTAGCAGTGGAGGAGGTATGCTGTTTTGCGATTCATTTGAATGGCACCTCAAACGCACCTCACACCTGCAAAGTGACTTCGCCACAACGTGCAGTACTACAATACCATGCATTGTGGTACAAATTAAAAAAGGATTGCATGCATCGCACTGCAATGCATGGTATTGCAGTAACACTTCTTGCAGTGCAATCAATCACATTGCAGGCGGGAGGTACATTTGGGATGGAATTTAAATAAATGCCAACGCAACGCACCTCCCACACTGTTAACGCACTGTAGGTGCGTTGTGCGGTACGGTGCGTTGATTACAAGGAGCCGTGTGAATACCTAATTTGTGTTAAAGGGGCCCATAACGTGAAAAATATTTAAAACAGAACTACAGACAAAAATCATTTTAGCCCATTTTTAATGTTATTATTATACAGGATTTACATAGCACCAACAGTTTGCACAGCGCTTTAAAGCACCCTTTAACCCCTTCATGACTGAGGCCTTTTTTTTTTTCATTTTTTGCACCCATGTTATATTCCACATATTAGGCTGGAAAATGACTTAAAACCCCCCAACATTATATATTTTCTGAATGCCAAGACCCTATAGAATAAAATGGTGGTAGGTGCAAATTTTTATGTTGCGCAATATTAGCGCAACTCCTTATTAAACCTCAACATTTAGTGAAAAATGTAATTAAATGCCCCAAAACACAACAAAATACCAATTTTTTTAAAGAAATATAAAAGATGAGGTAACAACGAGTAAAACGATACCCAACATGCCCAGGTTACAAATTGCGTGCGCCCGTGAAACGGCGAAAAACTGCAGTACCCCAAAAAGTCCATAGAATACGCTTTAACAGCCCCCCACAGGTTCGTTCGTCGTTTTCATACGTTGGCGCACCCGACGCGTGTTTACGTGGGGCGGGGACTTTTAAAATTTGTTTTTATTATTATTAGATTTATTTTATTTTAAAAAACTTTTTTTTTACTTTACTTTGACTGCTATCACATAGGGGGGCTTACAAGCACCCCCCATGTGATAGCAGATGGTGGTGACAGGTACTGTTTAAGGTGATGCTGGGGGTCCAAAAGACCCCCAGTGTCACCTTTACACTGGAAATAAGCTATTGAAGTGCAGATCGCACTTCAATAGCTTATAGCTGGGCTGCAGGAGCCCAGAACTGACAGCCCAGGGACCGGAAGTGATGCAATCTGCATCGCTACGGGTCCTATAGAACGGGGAGGGGATCAATGAACGGAAGTTCGTCGACCTCCTCCCCAGCTCCCCGCGGACACCAAGGAAGCCGGTCCCGGGCCCGTAGGAGGGGCAACGGAGCCCGGGAAGCACGGCAGCGGTGTCCGGCGGGGGGGGCTGCCCCTTCTACGGGACACAGAAGCCGACAGTCGGCTTTACAAGTTTAAACAGAGTAGCCGCCGGGAGTCTGTTTAAACAGCCCCAATGCTGGCGACGTACGTCGTCAGTCACGAAGAGGTTAAAGATAAATTAACAGAACCAGCTTTTGCTGCAATATTTACCTTCAATGCAAAGATTTCCCCCACAGTACTTTTTTTTTGACACTAGGTGAGCTCAGTCTGATGGCCAGCATCAATCAACCCACTTCAAATATTCTCCATTAGTTGAAATCTACTCCTTACAGCAAACGGAATACAAGGAAACTAAGGTGTGAAGAGTTTATGTAAAAGGTATGTGCAGGCTCTGTTCAGTGCTTGCAGTCTGTCTGAATGTTGAAACTTACATGCATGCTTTCCCCTTACCTTCATATAACATCTCAGATGTGGTAAGAGCAGGCACCTTAGAATGCCTGCAACAAAGCCTGGCAAACCTACCTTATCGTAGTACACCTATCCCAATTAGAGATTTACTTTAAGTTAACTGTATGCAGCTAGGCCTGGTTCACACCTGGGCATTCTGAAAACGTGCAAGGATTGGCGCGTTTTCATGCGCGATCACTGTGCGGAATTGCGCACAAATGCAAAATGTGCTTCCAGTGCCATTCATTTCTAATGGCACCCTAAACACGGACGGCAGATTGCGTGTTTTTCCGCCGCGTTTCCGGGTGTTCACAAACGTAGCGGAAAAAAAGTGTAATGTGAGTCGCACAAAAAGGTGCAGGAGTATTTTTGCCGCGCAGAAATGACCCCATTCAAATTAATGGGGCACATGGCAAACGCGGTGCGCAATCACATATCCGGGACATGCGTCCCAGGAATGCGCAGATGTGAACCAGGCCTTTAAGATGGATACTTTTCCAGATGCCTTCGGTTTTGTTGCTTTACCTAAACTAATCGCTTCTGGATACAGAGGGAGGAATTCCAAAGGGGTAGACAGGCATCCTCTTTAGCGATCCTACTGCTGGTGATTTGTCTCTAGTGGCAGAATCACCCATCTGACATTTGAGTTTGAGACTACGGCTGGTAATGCATATGCATTATCATATACATGTGCATTACCAGCTGTAGTCTCAAAGTGGCCTTTCTGAATCTCTATACACCATAGAATTCTGGATATAAAAACATAGGTGGGATAGGCTTCCCTGAAGAGATGAGTCTTAAGGGATCGCCTTTTAGAGTTAAGGAAATATTAGGGGTCTGTTAGACCTGTAATGCCATCCCTGCAGCCCATTGAAGCTGATCAAGCACTGATTAATTACCTGTTGGGCTGTCTGATTAGACTTGATAGGCAGACCAACAGTCAGGTGAAAGCAGCCAACAGTGTGACAACGCTGCTGCTGACTGCAAGGCAGTGGACAAGCCTGCAACAGGAAGTGCTGTTGCTTGGAGGATCTCAAAGGCAAGTAACTTTGCAACAGATTTACAACATTTACAAAAAAAAATTGCTTCATAAACTGAGGCAACAAAATTAAAAACATTTTGTTGGAGATTTGGAGTTTTAAAAAAACGTTAAAATTTTAAACGTGAATGCAACTGCATGCAAAGCAAACTAAGTGCGGGACCATGGTAATTGGCGTAGAATTCAACTATTCATTCTTTACAGTGCCTGGGATGCAGATCAAAGGATACACAGGGAAAAGGTGTCTGTGCGTTACCGGGGACGCACTAAAGGCGCAGAATCTAAGAAGGGCCAGGTTTTCTACAGAGCCTCTTTTGGTGAGGATGATTGCACTATTGGACACCTTCCAGGTTGCGGCCCTCTAGCACACCCGCACAGAGACTAGTTGCAACACCGAGGTTCAGGATTCAAAGGCCAGGAGGGGTGAAGCAAGTATACAGAATGCAGGACAGGAGTACAGGATATGTAGTACACAAAGGAAGAAGTCTGTACATAAAATAACAGGATCACAGGTACACAGCAGAGGACTCATGCATGCTTTACTGATACTAACTGAGCCCCCCCCCTCCTAACAACTTGGTGCTAAGATGTAGCAGCTGTAGCAGTTTGAAGAGACAGATACCTATTGATGTACAAAATGAAAAAGCGTGTAAAGCAGCTTATATTGACAAATGCCAACCTGCAAGAGGTGAATCGCTTAACCACCCAGAT